CGACCTCGAAACTCAATAAAGGCCACAACAAGTAAACATGTTAAAATTTTGTCAAATACAAATATTAAACCATTGGCATAAAGACACGATCTTAAGTAATGCCAAAATGTACGCCCAAGTAGTTTGATGAAACGAGCTAGTTATCAAAATGGAGATACTATACCATGAGTTTCGCGAGATTCTTGATTCTTTGGCAGAACGTACTAAGTTTTAAGGAAAAGGCTTTCGCTATTCTGACACTATAAATAGAAAAAGAAAATACAAAAAAACTAGTCAACACTCCATGAAGACTCATAAATTTTACATTCGTTAGCCCTTTTTTATTTTTTTTTCAGCTTTTAGTCTGTAATCTTGTTAACACTTCAATAAAAATCATACACTTGTTCTACCAAAGTCTTGTATCTTTTTACATCCGAGCGAACTGTGATAAAAGAGTTTGGGACCCTTTCATTATTTATTGAGACTCAGCATCTCTGGCACACTTGATAGTTATTGTTCAATCATGAACAATGGGTTAAAGTTTTAGATGGAAAAATAAGTAAATATATATATATATATATATATTTAAAATTAATGAGCACTATGCCCTGTTGTGAGCTTTCCACCTATACTAGGTAGCAAGACTATTGTTTTCTTTTCCTGCAATTATTTCAATGCTAAGAGAAAGGGAGTAGAAAAGAGTGAGCGTGGTCACGTACTTCATTGAGGGGAGGGAGATTTTTAACGAAAAAAGTAACAATAAAATCTCTTTTAAATATATAAATAATAATTTAATTTTTTTAATATTATAATTTCTCTGAAGTCTTTAAAATTTTTTTATCATTAATGAATTTACTTAAATAATTAAATTGCCTTTATTAAAAAAATAATTTTCTTCTTATATTCACAACTTTCCTTCTTAAATTCACAATAATGTAATAGCAAATTCTAACTCCGAATGTTAAATTCCTCATTTACTGTTGTACTGTTGTAAATTTAAGAAGAAAAGTTACAAATATAAGAAAAAAATTACAAATTATTTATTTTTAGCAAGGACAATTTGATAATTTATGTAAATTCATTAATGACAAAAAAGTTTTCAAGAACTTTAGGAGAATTATGGCATTTCGAGGGACCAAATTATCATTTATATATTTCTAAAGGATTTTATTATCATTTTTTCATTTTTAAATGCAAGCTCCACTATAATATACTTTAAGTATGATTTAAAGTTTTTTTAAAAACTATATAAATTTTAAAAAAATCTTTAAGTATAATTTTTATTCTATTTGTAAATTCTTAATAGTGGAGGATTTAAAATTTTCTATAATTTCAAATTTTTTATTGTTTTGACCTTCGGAGAAGTTTTGGTTATCATAGATGGATGAAATGGAGTTGTTGAGAGTGTATTACTATTGTTAGAACAATAGGTATGGATTATCTTGGTATTATATCTAATTTTTTTGTTGATTAAGCAAACCATAGGTTGGCAATATATAATGTAGGGAGTAATTAAATGGATGATGGGTTTAGTTAGACTCATTAAAATATAACAAAGTTAATGGAACCATTAAATAGTAAGGTTATTTAATAAATTAAATTTTGAATGAAAGGGATAGTTAGGAAAGTGGTGAAATTAGTGTTTTATTAATTTTTTTTTTGAGTTGCCTAATTGTAGAATAAACTCTTTTGAGCTCTTGAAGCATTTGGAATCTTAGAATTGAATTGAATTCACAGGTGCCCCTTTGAGTGACTCAAGAGGTTGGGGTAACCAAGAACATAAATTATCTCATGCATGTTTAAGTATTTTTGTAATATTAAGAAACTGTGAAATGAATGTTATATATGGAAAAGTTCTTTGAATGTTTTAGAAAATGTGAAGAGTGGGTTTGTAGTTAATTGTGAAAAAAAATTATGATTGATTTGTGTAAATTATGTATATTGATTATTATGAGCATGATGTGTGGTGCATGGAGAAATATTTCTATATTTATGAACTTGAGTATGATGATTGAGGTATGAATATGTGCATTGATGATGTACCTTACGTATATTGACTTGAGAATATTGATAGCATAACTTCTAATTAGAATAAGTGGGAATTCACCATAGTTAGGAGTAATCATATTGCATTCCATGTGGCATTGATAACATTTAGGTAGCTCCCAACATTGGATAGCCATGACACCTATTTTGATGGGAGTTCAGTGTAATTTTGGCTTGGTTGATGTAATAGTATAACACTCACTCTGGGAGTGTGTGTATGTTACTGGCAATAAATATGACACCATATGTGAATTTGAGTAGCAAGGGAATCTATGGTTTAAGTTAGAGGAGTGTAATATTTGGCCGGGTTACCCCTCTAACAATTGAGGCTTGGAGTAATCCAGTCACATGGATAGATCCTATTATGAACTATAACCTATAGACTTGGTCGGAAGAGATAAAGAGGATATAAGGGGAGAAATTAATTAATCATGCATATTTAAATATGTTACTATGATATGTGATTGTAAGTTGCCACTTTACACGCTCGTAAATGCTTATGCTTGTATATGTTAGAAGTTAGGATTTCTTGATTAATAAGATATTTATCTTATCCCGTATTTTACATTTTACAGGTGAGGGCTTAATAAATGGCAAGGGAAAAAAAACTAGAGGCAAAAACTAATAACTATATTAGGTTGATATGTGTAGAGAATTGTTATATTACACTTATATATTATCAACCTAGGAACATATTATCCATTTAAGATTGTATTGAAATTATAACTGTCATTGAATTTGTGATTGATTCATTGACTGTCTAGCTAGTTGGTGAACCAAGTTCATGATAGCTTGTGTTATGGCTAGTGAATTATATTGTGAGAAATTATAGTTGAGATATCATTGAATATTGTGGGTCTGGATGGAATGTTTAACCTAAGCCTTTGAGGCTTGTGATATGATTACAAAATATTGTGATTAATATTCATGTGTTCTTAAGGTTGATAATGTTTGTGATTGACATTGTGGATTGTAATGTTGTATTGACTGTTAAGGTGAACTTCCTTTTTTGGCTTGGAAGTTCAACTATGGTAGAATATTTAAGTCACGTGAATTAACTATTATGTCCCTTTTTTGTTGAGTAACCCTATTAACGAATTATCTCATGTTTTCATTTGTTTGATTATTTTGATTTTAATTGAGATTTTGTTTGAAAGAGCTTTCTTTTTTTTTGTTTCTTAAATAAATATTGTGATTAATATTTATATGATCTTGAGGTTGATAATGTTCATCGTTAAAATTCTGGATTGTAATGTTGTTTTGACTCTCAATGTGAATATGCTTTCCTTTCTAGCTTGGAAGTTCAACTATGGTAAATCGCTTAAGCCACGTGATTAACTATTTTGTCCCTTTGTTGTTGAGTAACCTTATTGACAGGCTGCCTCATGTTTTCATTTGTTTGATTACTTTGATTTATTGTTTTGAGCTCAATGGTTTTTTAAAATTGATTTTAATTAGGATCTCATTTGAAATAGTTTTCATTTCTCTTTGTTTCTTATAACCATGATTAAGCCTTTTTCTACCATGTTAATGGCTAACTTGGGACATTAGCTTTAATTACTATGGCAGTGTATTTTAATTAACAAATTAATTGTGTGGCTATTATAATTATGAAGATAAGGGACATATAATGATGCATCATGTAGCCTTTGAAGGTTATAAGGTATTAACTACAAGAAACTCTTTTTAAGCAATTCATTAAGACATTAAAGATAAATGAATCTTGAGATGTATGAGTTATTGATATTAACATTAATATTAATGTGTTAAAAATTGCAACATAATGATAAAATCAACCAAAAAAAAACATTAGAGAGAGTTCTCATATTAATTTTGTTAAGGTACTATTTTTTTTAATTCTGTTTGTCCTAAAAAATTACATATCGATCTCATATAGCAGACTTATTTACAAATAAATTTTGTAAAATTTAAAAATTATAAATAAGTCCCTTTAGGACTTGAGTGTAATTTAAAATTAAGATAAAAAGACAACAATATCTCTATTAAATATATACATATATATATATATATATATTATATCAGTCAAATAATTTACAATTATTTCATCAATAATTTATAACTAAAATTTTAACTTTTTACAATTATAATTTTATATATTCAACAATTAAACTGAAATGACCAATTTAATTGTTGAATATATGAAATTACAATTATAAAAATTAAAGTTATAGTTGTAAACTACTGATATAATAGTTATAAATAATTAATGTTAAACTTTATTAGTAATGCATGATTGTTTAACTATTACATATATGAAGTTATAGTTGTAAAAAAATTATAATTATAATTATAAATTGCTAATGAAGTAATTATAAATTAATATTTGATTGATGTAATGTATGTTTAATAGGCATATTATTGTCTTTATAACTTAATTTCAAATTACACTTAAGTTTCAATAGACCTAACTGTAATTTTTTAAATTTTGTGAGGCTTATTTATAAATAAATTTGTTATATTTGGACCTATGCATAATTTTTTCTATTATTATTATTGATGATTTATTCTAGAATTTGAACTTGAAACTTTATAAGAAATTAATTAAACTCTCTCAATTAATTGAACTAAAGTGCAGAGTAGGCAAGTACTAATTAATTGGACCTTGGAGAGACAGTTGCATAATGATGTATTATCATATTATGTAATATTATCTCTAATCTTATTTATAAGTCACTTCCAGCATGTTTCATCGAAATTAATAAAAATTTTAAATCTCATTAATTTTATTTTAAATTTAACAAGTTTTTACCTTTATCTTTAATGAATATTCTTAAACTTCATTATTAATATTTTTATTTAAATTATTTAGTAGAGATAAAAATATAAAATGAAACATTAAAAATTAACAAATACTTTATAAATAAATAAAATGAAATTTTTTCTTCTCCCTCTACTTTATATATAGCATCAGATAAATATATATTAATTAATATTATTATCGCGAATAAGGACGTGTGAGGACGACTGACGCAGGGAACAGCCGGTGGTGGGGCGGCTTGTATCTAAAATCCTAGGGCAGGGCAAAAATGGTGGAATCCGTGAAACCAAATGAACTCCAAGAGACCCTAAAGCCATTTTATCAGAGAGCTGCAGAAGCAGAGGTAAGGCTTGTTTGTTATATATATCCCGCTTGTTTGTGTTTCGGTGTGATGGCAACACAGATCTTTCCGCACATTCATCTTCATCCTATCTGCCCTTTTTTGGTTAAATTTACTGTGAATCCGGGAGTGCTTTGCTGTATGCTAAGCAGTCTTTTGGGGATTTCAGCTTTGTTTTGTTTTAGTGCACTGTTCTGTGAACTATGATTCCCTTATGGCTGAAATCTGATTTGGTATCTTCTTTTGCCCCCAAAACTATGGAATGGTCTGTGCTGGAGATTTTTAGGGCTGTTTGATTGTCCATAAATTTGTAAAGTTCATCTTACAACTCTCTAACAAGCAAGCATGTGTTTTGTCGTAGGAACGTCTGGCAAGACTTGAATCTGCCTTAGCTAGTAAACAAGGTAGGTGCTAATCACTTAAGACAACGGATGGTACTGAGATATGGTCTAAATTGTAACATACATATGAAACTTTCTCAGACGCAGGAAATGAGGAACACTTCAAAAAAATTGATGATCTTCAGTCGAAGCTTGGAAAGGCTAATGCAGAGCTCGTTGCAAAAGAAGAGAAGGTTGTTCCCATTCCTAGATTTTCCACTTTTTGTATTTTAGAGAAAAGGATAATTTCATTGATATTTTAACCACATCTTAATTTTTAGGCTCAGAAGCTTGCTGCTGAAAATGAAAAGCTTCAATACCGTATAATCCATCTTTCTCGAGCACTTAAAGAGGCCAATGTGAAGTTAGAGCAAGTGAGTACTTTTTTTTTTTTATGTCTCTATCAATTCGTTTGAAATAATCATTTATTTTGATTCCTGACAACTTGCCTTGTTTGCTATCTATTCATTAAATTAAAGGCTCTAAAAGTTAGTTATAAATTAGCTGCCCCGTATGATAGTTTGGATGGGATTTCTGTTTCTACAAAATTAAGCGAGTAAAATTTCCCATAGATTTAGAGTTAGACAGAAAATAAATTCCAATCAGGCATTTATTCTAATGTCAAATTGGAACCAAGGAAAGAATGATTTTATGGAAATACTACGTATGCATGTTAGTTTCTTGTAATATTGCGACCGTAAAAGTAAAATGAAGTGAGAGAAGGTTCAGACGTAAGATCTGAACTTGGACAATAGTTGATTTTTGAATCACTTGGAATCTGCTTGATTTCCCAAAATTAATCTAGATTGGTTAGCATTTGTAATTGCATTACTACTTTTCATTCCTCTGCTGTTTCTGCTTGCTTTGTTTGAAGTAATTCCATTAGTTAGACAGGATGTTACAAAGATGGTAAAGATGGCTGATAGTCTAATTACAGAATTGAAGGAATTCTATTTTACAAAATGTTGCTGAAGTTGGAATTGTCGTTGTGTTTGTTACTGACCTCAGGTTACGACGCCGAAGCAGCTGAAAAGCATAAAATTGCAGGATTCTTGAATTCATGGGCTGAAAACTTCGTGCTTATTGGAATGTCAGATCAGACAACTTCGCTGGGTCATCTCAGATTTGAAGAACGCTGGCCTTTGGTGATACAAAATGTCCGGATTTGGGGTTTTAAAACTTCAGATATATTCTGCCTCCTAATACTTGTTTGTGCATGGTGACAAGACTTGTAAAATTTCGTCTGATCATAATCAAACAATAGGGGTTTAATTCTATTGATTTTCTTCTTATAGGGATTTTATATATGCAATAATCAAGGTGGGAAAGACACAGTCAAACAAATAATAAAAGCAGGCCCCAAAGCTAATAGCCTCAATCTCAAGCTGATGTCCCAGGACGTTGAACAAGAATAAAGGGCGTTTCCAGATATAACCCAGGCGTTTATGGACAACCTTGCATAACCATTTAACTCCAATTTTTTTTTTTTTTGTAACTTTTTATGTTTTTATTAAATTTTTAGTAGATATAGAAAATAAAATAAAGATAATTACTTAACTGCCATTTTAAAAAAAAAATTATTTCATGTTGCTCATTGCTGCCATGAGCTAATGAGCTCACAAATTTAACGGACTTTTAAGCCTCCTATGAGGGCACAGTGACTATCCAGCGCGGCCGCGGAAGAATGCGTATGTTATCCCCTCCTGTCAATGTTATCCTCTAATTACCGGGAAAAAGAGGGTTGGGGGGGAGGGGGCATTCTTCTGTACATTATCCTGTCACATTGCACCCTGATTTGCCTATGGAATGTTTATAACTACGTAAAACAAAGTCAAGCCCTTCCAAAATTTACAGAAGATCTGAACATGGCCAAAAAGATAACCCGATTGTAAAATTCAGCACCCGCCGCTGAGTCGTTCCCTTAATAGTTCAACCAAAGCTGCTTTAGTAAGTTTATAGTACCTTTTCACATTGTGCTGCTTGGCAATTGCCCTCAGGTCATTCATCTTCAAGTCCTTAAGCTTATCAAGCTGCAAAACTGAGGTCTGAGCGTCTACTTCTCTTTTCTTTTGTAACTCAGAAAATTCGCTGTCATAAGGAACAATAGCATTCTCTCCTGTTTCATGCTGGCTAGGCTGCACTTCTCTCTGGGCAATTTTCCTAACCAGGGGCTTATTTGAACGGACCTCATCAATGCTGATAATGCTGGTGCTGGATTTCTGCTGCCCCCCGGATATTAAAATTGTCGATGATTTGGGACGAAGTTTTATTGGACTGTCACTTTGTTCTCTATCAGAAAATGCAAAATCAGGTTTCCTTTTCCACTGATGTTTTTGGTTGGAAGGCAAGCTCATACTGGACTTGGTAAGATTCGCATAAGTTTCAGATTTGCGGCCACGTGCTTGTGATCTCTCTTCATCTGTCAGCCGTGATCTACTGTATGGGATGATCTTGGTTTGCAGCTTCTCAGGAACAAGGCTTGCATTTTTAGTGTTCATTGCTTGTGGAGGATTTCTATCATTATCCCCTTTCGAAGAGGACAATTCATTATCAGGAAGAAACGATTCTTGAGGATAAACCACTTGCAGAGGTTTCATGCAGTCCAAGTCTTCATCCAGAACATTTATTTCTTTCTTGCAAGCTCTTCTCTCAGATTCTGAAGCAAAATCACTTGGCTTTTGATCTAAGTCAGAATTTCCACTTTTGGATTGTTGTGAATCACTCAGTATGGAACCAAGACACTTTTCCCTGCCCCTGGTGTCGGCTGCAACCGTAGAAGCATATGTGCTATCATATTCGACAATGGCATTTCTTTCCTGCACAATCTATGAACAAATGCAAGTGACCTAAAGTAAATATCCATATATAACAGCTACCTATCCCTCAAGATAAATGGAATAAAAGAAAAACAAGAGAGCATCTTGGACCTCGGCTTCTTTTGGAGCATTTTCCAGGCATTTGCAGAAAGATAAATCAGGGACTTGACCTGTGTCTTTGGTAACAAGTTGTCTTATGTCTTCCTCATTTCCAGAAACTTGCAAATTTGATGCGTCTGATAATTTCATTCCATCAGAATGGCCAGATGCACAGCTAATAGCCCTCAAGTTAGGACCTCTTACACAAGCTTTTGCAAGCAATTCCTTGAAAGAATAACGAGTAAAATGTCAGGATCCATGACAGGTCCATAGGATGCAATATATGCAACATTCTACGTGAAGTATAACCCAAGCAGAGATAATAAATCCACCCACAATAAGCATGGAGCTCTTGAGCTTGCAACAATTAATGCAGAAATGGTTGGTAAACTTAGGCCTTTAAAGCAAAAGGAAAGCAAGAATAAACAATACATACTAGCTTTGTGCAAGATTAGAGATCTGCTACTACCTTAACCCTTTAACTGGGATATACTCTCTTTTTCTTTGAATTCAAAACTGAAAACTGCTCATACTGTCAACTGCTAGTATAGTAGGACTGTCAAATTCTAAATCTAAAATCCTTGTGAACTCAGGAATACTTAACTGTTTCTTCTCAACGGATGAATCAATAGTGCTTTTTGAGGCATCTTCACAGAGGTGCTTGATAAAAACATTTCAGAGTTAAACAAAATGCAACTTGAGTCCTCATACTGTAACAATGACACTAAAGAGGTTGTGGAAAAATAGGCAAAAGACTAACTTACCCCACGGTTTGGCTCAAATCCTTGTAACTCTTTTAATGAAGCTGAACATGATGGTTAAAAAGCAAGGAGAGAAAAAGAAAAATGTAAATAACTCTGTTGTATGCATAACACCACAAGAGGTGCAATGTCCTATATTTAAAAAAAAAATGAACTTTGAAATGAGTACATGAATAGGATGAACTCGTAAACCTAATATTACAAAATTTGTAATGTGTGCTGTCAAATGTATTTGCATAGCTCCTCTCAAAACCTAACAAAGCAGTCTATTGAAAATCTCTTTAGTACTTGGGATTTTGCATTCTCTCATATAATAGATATGACAGCAATAATCAGGGCACTAAAAAGGCTGAGAAGATCCATAGGCACCCAAAACAAATAAAGACCTTCTTAGAAAATTCAGTCGCTTTTGTTATGGTAACATGGCAGTTACTGCTCTTATAACATGCAGACTTTTTACTACAACAACCTGCTCGTATGTTTGTTCAAACTCTCTCTGAGATTGACTTTCTGTATCAACTTGACAAAAATTTGAATACACTAGCCTCCACATGCGGCTAAAGAAAAAGAAAAAACTATTATTATACATCATAAGTTTATATTAAACATCTCTAATTCATAAACCAGAAAATTACAATAAATAGGTCAAAAAGTTAAAACATGAGAAAGCAAGATATGTATTAGTGGAGCCTTCAGAATTTAGAAGAGGGCATATAGAAGAAAGCACTAAACAAAGTAAAGAAAAACGTTGATAACTGAGCCAGAAAATTGAAAGCCTCTCTGCATCAAATAAAAATTTCAATAACTTGAGGAGAAAGAAATTTCAAAAGTCAACCTGGTCATATGCATCTTGACAGTACTCTCTTTGCAAAGCCTTCAGTATTTCATGAAGTGTCTCGGCAGGTTTATTTTGTAATAATGGCTGGGTCCCACAATCATTAGCATGACCATTTCTCAAAGTCCTTAGAGAAATATCAAGCCAGTTGATCTTTTCACTCAAAGCACTAAAGCACAATTCAGACCATTTTTCATGTTCAGCACAGGCTAATTCACTCTGAAGCGATAATAAATTTTTCCCAAGTTCCTCAAGTTCGTTATCTTCCCTTCTTATTAAAATTCTCAAAACCTCAATGCAAGATTTCTCATTCAAGGCATCTTCCTCAATCACATCTACAAATTTAAGGGAAAAAAGGTAGTCAAATATAGCCTCAACGAAGGACCAGATTAGTACAACGCAAGGGAGCAAGATTATACCATAACCACAACCAAAGTAAAAGTCACATTGCCATCCAGTATATTCGGAGCAATTGCCGTCTTGCACGACTGAAACCGGTAAATAACATGCAGTATATGAAAGGGATAAGTCGCATGCAATCCAGTAAAACAATATATAATAAAGAATCGTTGCAATATGGAAGTTCATCAAAGAGATTTAAGAAGAATAGGAAACCTTGAGCATATGATGAACTCCAAAGATCCCAAGCCATGAATTGTGCTTTAACTATCCTGAAATGAAAATGTTAAGTTAAAGTATGATCCATATACAATTCAGTTTGTGGAAAAAAAAATGCCAAGGAAGATGCCAATGGAGAAGCCAACGAAATCGAACTATTTGTTAACAACAAATGCCTACATCTATATTATTTGTATGAAATTAAGGGGGAGAAAAGAAGGTAGGAAAGTAGGATGACTAAGTAGAACCAATAAATTCAGAAATATTCAAAACGTCTGAGGAATAAAGTACAAAATAGGATGTCTCCAGCACGCATCCCGTGCCAAACCCCACCCAAGCAAAGGACAATGGAGGGGTGAGGAGAAGTGAAGAACGCAAGATACTGAAAGCAACGAGACAAAGGGAAAGTGGAAACCCGATTTAAAAGGGGAAAAAAATGTACCTTGAAAAAAAATTATCCTTCTCAGAAACCTTGGAAGAACCAGACTTCCTACAGGCTTCAGGCACTGTAGATGAAGTTCAGACCAAAGAGCGAGGTAATAGGTAATCGATAACGGGACATGTAGCTTTCCGGGCAATTAAACAGTACCTCAATGGAATAAAAGATGGAAAGCTTGAGCTTCTTGAGCTGACCAAGAAGCCGCGGAAATGCTGAATGCGAAGAAAATGCGTGTCTAGGGTTTCGGGGTTTCTCAAAAGTCAGAGCCAAGGGTTAGAGAGAAACAGGTCTTTTCCAGAGCGTAGAAGGAAAGAAGCGAGGAAGAGGAGCTGTGGTCTGTGTGTACGAACAGGAAAAAGGCAGAGGCTTGAAGCGACAAACATACCGGTAATGGCAAGAAGACCCAGTGAGCTACAAAGAGGCGGTTTCATAAGGGGACCACGTGGGAATTATAATAAAAGATGAGGTGGGCCCATTCGTGGTTGACTGCGTGAGAATGAAGGACCTAGGACCGCAAGGATTCGTGAAGTGTTCTTTTTGGACTCATTTGTGAATATCAATGTCTCATGTTTATTTCTCCTACGGGATTTGCCCGCTCCGAACCTATTGGATCACGAAAGCAAATCGTCAACCCCTTTTTTGAAAGTATAAAAATTTCAACTTCTAATCACTTGTTTAATTAACATAACTTGATTAAATAACAGGAATCTTTACTATTTACATTAACATTAATTGGGTAGCAAATTTTAAAGTTAGCAAATCTTCAATCTCTTTTCGCAAGTGAAGTTGAGAACTGAGACCTTTACCCTATCCTTGCATACATTTTGCTATATTTGAGCTCGGGAAACTTATTATCATTTTTGAGATTCACATTTCAGTCATGTCTGGTATTTATTATTTTGTTAACAAACATCTTGCATAGTGCATACATTCTGCTGGTGACACTCCATTTTTTACGCCCCTATTATTTATAGGGTATAAGATGGTTTTTCTCAATAATTAGATTTTATTTACGTATTTTAAATCACAATCTCAATTAAATCAAGATGATATCAATTATGCAAAAATGATTGATTATGATTGTTTTAAACTCGATTTTAAGACTCTCCCATTTATGTTATGATTTATCTCTTTACAGGTAAGTTTAGCACTTACATTGCAATTGCATAAAAAGCAACTTTGTTTGATATTTGAATTAATGTGTTCTTATATAAATAATAATAAAATAGTTGTCATAGATTATTTTATTTTATTTTTCTAATGTTGTTGAATTAAAATGAAATAAATAAATAAAATTTAAAATTTTCGGGCAAGACAAATTAAATCTAAAAACGAGCTTATGATTATTTATGAACTTGGTGCAACATTTATTTTAATATGATATTTAGAGGTAGATTTATCATCATCATCATCATATCCAAATCATCCATATTTTTTTGGCCAATAAAAACAGTGCCATATCAGAGCGCAAATACATTGTTGCGTTTAAATGCTAATGTTTCGTGATTTTTTTGGTTGCCGTCCTCGATTAACAACATTGCAGTTGATTGACATATCAATCAATCATCAATCCAATTACAGATTTCTTGGCCTGATCAGCTCGTTACAGATAAAGACTTTCACATCACACAACGTGTTTATAATATTACTCAGGCCTCAAATCACGTGGTGCAAATCATTCAGGTGGCAATTTGGTGATAAAATAATTGAGTTTAACACAGACAAACATTACTCCCTTCATTTTAAATTATAAAAAATTTTTAAATAAAATTTTACATATTAATAAATTTTATTAAATATACTTAACAACATCATCTTTTTAAAATAAAATAAAATTTTTTAAAAATACTTATTATTTAATATATTAAAAAAAGAAAGGATGAAAATTAATTATGAAGAAAGAAAAAAGTAATATTAAAATTGATATATTTAATAAAATATTAATCTATTTAAAGTATCTTATATTTTATCATGAAAATTTTTTAAAAAAGTATCTTATAATTTGAGATAGAGGAAGTATTATTTATGTCATACCATAATTTATAAAATTTAATCTCTTATAAGCTGACACGCTTTAGTATACTCTGAAAGTAAAAGTATTAAAGGAGAAAAAGAGAAGGATGTGATTTTATTTTTCCTAGATTAAAATTTATTTTTATCTCTGAATACCTTCTTAAAGAGTATTGAACATTTTATATTAATAAATGAGACAATTTTTTTTTTCAACTATTTTTTTAAAGCAAAAAATCCCTTTCATTAGTTATCATTAACTTTGTCATCTTTTGTTAATGCAACATGTGTGTAGAGCCCATGGACATTGATATGGTCAGAGTCCTACTTATAACCTCTTTTAATATATAATTTTAATCCAATAAAATAATTTTTTTTATTGCTCATCAAATCAAAATGATATCAATCATGCGAGAATGGCTGATTCTAGTTATTTTAAACTCAATCTGGAGATTTTCTATTTATATTTATGATTTAGCTCTTTATAAGTAAATTCAGCACTTACATTGCAATTGTTATTATTGTTAAACTCTCAAATTGACTCTATAAGTTTATCATTTTTATATTTTTAACTTATAAAATCGTGTTAACTTACATATAAATTTGTATTAGATAAAACTTGTAACACACCAAAATTTTTTTTTTAAATAATTTAACTCAACCATAGTTGGGTTACAGCCACCCAACACATTTTTATATCAATAATTTCGATATAAAATATTTTATAATTGGCTTCAACTCACACACTATAACATTTCAGATAAATTTTTACCTCCCACATGCTATTAGGCTAAATCACATTTGTCCATCCTTATACTCCCAACAAGTAAACTAAATCACATTTGTCCATCCTTATACTCCCAACAAGTAAAATAAGCAATTTAATAAATTTTCAACACAAGCCAGTTATTTGACCTTATAATCATGCCATTTTAACCATTCCAAAGTAAACCAAATATTAAAATTACAGTCATCCAAATTGTACCAAAAATAGAAATAGTTTGAAAGGCATGATTACATTTATATATTCATATAATTGACAATAAATAAAAAGCCCTAATATTGGCAATATAACACATTATAAATCATAAATTAAATACCCAAAAAAGACAGTGGATCTATACCACTAAGCCTCTGGGACTCCTCCACGTGTCACTCGTGGCTCTTCTCCTGAAAATTGTTAACCACATAATGAGACTCAAAAGTCCCAATAACCAAAGCCAATTTATGATAGTGTATACAAACAGTTAAGTGTGTGCTTACTAAGTGAGAATTAAAAATAATATAATTCCAACAAATATAAGAAATATTACAATATACACAAATAACCATCCTTATATCCCTCCATTAACCTCGAGCCGTAGCCCTCACTCGGTGTTAAATTACCCGGCCAAAGGTAGATTAGCCCGAGCCCTTACAAGCCACCTATTGAGCTCCAACAGGGGCGTACCACGTGGCACATAAATACAATAATAATAGCAAGTCTCCCAATACCTCCCACAATAATTAAACAAATTCATAATAATATTGCACAATTATATAATATTATAAAATTCATAATTTTCTCAATAATCACCCAATTAACATGAAGTAACACTAATCACAAATTAAAAGCATGGTTACCTTGTGGCTTTTTCAATAAATTATTCCTTAAAATTTCTCTCTCACCACAATCTTCACCAGTAATACAATCTACAAATAACATATTATTTATAAATATTAGTTTCAATTTTTGAAACTAATAAAATAATTCTAATAATAGAATTAAAAATATAATATAATTCCTAATTCAATCTTAATACAAATCTATAGTTAATACTATTAAGTAAAATTTTTAACTCCTCTTTTAATTATCAATAAACATTAATAATCTAAAAATCAACTTCTAAATTAATTTCTATTATCAAAATTTTCTTTTTATTTTATAAATTCGTACCTAAAATACCCAAAAATTAAAAATTAAGTCTCTAGCTTAGAATCATAATCCTATAACCATAATAATTCATTTCTCATCCCAAATAATCATCTAAACCTCAATAAATCAACATATATTTTCAGATCTAGTTTAGAATTTGATCCATAAGCCACAGATTCAAAGATCATCAATAAATTTATACTCTAGAACATTTATTATACTACTGACAACCTCAAAAATCATATTTATTCAACATAAATTCATCCCTCTTCCAGATCTTAAATTTTCTACCATTACAAACTCAGAAATCAAAGAAAAAGGATGACTAAGAAAAAATTTTAGAACACTTACTTAGTCTTGAAAAGCTTAAAATCACACCCTAAATATCCTATTAAAAACTCTTACCTTAAAATTCAGCACCGGTGAACTTGGCTCACAGATGCTCTCTCTGCCTCAGCTCACGCACGAAAGAAGGAATGAAGAAATGAAAGGAAACGGGTGAGTTTTATAAAAATTCAGTGGGTCCCACACATTTTTTTTTACTCTTTCCCCTCTCTTCTTCTTCTTTTTTTTTTTATTAAACATAATCATTGCCGGGAGAGCACCGAAAGTTCACTCCTTCTTCCCTTCTTTTTTTTTAATACGTTTTCCCTTTTTTTTTATTATAATAATAATTTAATAATATTTTTTAATTATTTTTTTTATTTTTTTTAGAATTATATCCTAAGTTAGATTTAATAATCATCTCTTACTAATTTTCTTACCTCTAAATATTATTTTTTTTATTTCTATTAACCCAAATTAACTATTAAAATTTAAATTGGGATGTTACAAAACTCATTTAAACTCATGGGTTTACTCTTTCAATTTACCCTTTTTATATTTTTAATTTATAAAATTGTATCAATCTACCCATAAACTCATGAATAAGATAGATATATATTATATAAAACTTAATTTATAGAGGCAGTGGGATTTGACTCGATGAAAAATAAAACTAAAAAACCAAAACTTGATATTACTAAAAAAGAAACAAAAAATATCAAAATAAGTTGTCATATTTTAAAATTTTTATATTAATTGAACATAATAATTTATAAATGTAGATAGATTTAATTTCATTGATTTATATTTAAAATATATTTAAATTAAATTATGATCATATTTTATATTTTAATTCTTTAATCATGTACTTTTAAAAAATATTTATTAATAAAAATAAACCCTTACAAATTTATGATTTAAGTTTATATTATTCCTATCATACGTTTACTTAAACTCGTAATTTTAATAATCTTGGCAATTGCATGAAGAGAAACATTGTGTGATATTTAAAATAACGTGTTTTTATATGAACAACAACAAAATAGTCATAGGTTGTGTTTGTTTTTCTAATGTTGATGAATTAAATTGAAATAAATAAATAAAATCTAAAATTTTCAGGCAAAAAAAATATAAGATCTGGCTTGATTATTTATAAAAATTTTTATTATTCTCACCAAATCATCCATATTTTTTAAT